AGGACCCAAATTGCAGACACATGTACACATACGAACGATGACCGGATCCACGCAGATCCATCGAAGACAAGCACCGATAGAATCCCGCAAGATTTTCTAGAGACACACCTCCACACGCCCTCTGTGTCGTGGGGCGCACCACCGCGGCAGATACTAGGTGGGGAGAAACGTATTCCATCTTCAGGGAGCTGCGCCGTCTTGCCTTTCTAAGCATGACACAAACCATAAACGGGCTAAAAAGGCTCAAATGAAGCATGAGACCTCCAGCCAGCAAGGGTCAGCATCCACTGCGCATTCATATCCCTAAGGCCATAGGAGACGAGGCATATCGACGGCAGCGCTGGTGGGAGGCGGGTAAACCGTAGCTACCTGGGAGTTGCTCGCGGGGGAGGAGAAAATGTGAGCTAGTTCAATCTTTAATCGGAAACTATTTGCACCTTGTGCATTCTTCATAGTTCAGGCTTGGTTTATTATGTCTAGGATTAATAAGGTATACTAAATATTTACTCATGCATGGGGCAATCTCTTCTATTCTGGTTCGTGTTGATTGTATGGTTCATCTCGGGAGGGAGATCAAACTTCAAGAAACTGTGAATAGTCTTATTTATATACAAATGTGTAACTCCTCAGAAATTTCAATTGCGCTTATATCCATCACTATAGGACTTTGGTTCAAGCTTTCCCAAGCCTCTTGTCATTAATAGATTCATGATGTCTACGATGGAGTGTCGATTGTTCGAAAACTTTGGATCAATAGTTTTATATGATTATATAATCCATTCATGTAATCCACTTTCCACATAATTTCAAATGAAAATTTCCATAGTCTTTATTTTGCAAATATACTAACTATTGAATGTACCCTAGGAGGGGGATTGCAAGCAAACACATTTTTCAGACACTTTTAGTTGCAGCCCGAAATTAAATGGTGGCGGCTTTAGAAGAAAAATGCCTTCCTCCGAAGAAATTTTAATCTTCACATAAACTTCTATGGGAATCCACTTTCTGCCATAACTAAATGTCTATAAAGAGATTTGAAAGTGAATACTCCATCCATAGTTAACATCCATTTTATGGAATCTTAATTATCAAACATTTCAGCCTCACAGTCAGCTTAAGACTACCCTAGAGAGCCAACGTACCACCCCACAGGTCCGTCTAGATTTTATACACTCCCATCCTTTTTGTAAGGCATCATCCACATAAATATTGTAATCTAAGCTCAAATTGTATAATCTAGCATGCATATTTTCACAGGTTTATCACCAACCCACCAATCCTCCCAAAACCTTATGTTTTTATGTTACCCACTATCTTCTTATTGTGTTGGTAGAAGATGTGTTTGATTTTCATCAAGTTGGACAAAAAGTGGGAGTTCCCCACTTTTGGTTTAAACCCAGCTAGGCCTTAAATTTGGATATATTTATTCAAAATGATATTTTCCCATAACCCATTTTAATTTTCAGTTTCCAAAACCACTTAGCCATCAAAGCTTTGTTCATAAGTTCAAGATTCAAATTCCTCAAACCCCCTTGATCTTCATTAAATGATATTTCTTTGTATCTTCATCTCATAGCCAAATAAATCTAGCCATAAATAATTTGCTCTTTTCATTCACCGAGTCTTACTTAATAAAACCATTTTACTTCGATGTCAATCATGGCATACATGTAATCCTAGAAAACACTAGCTTGTCACTAGCGCAACATAACATCGTCTATTACACATTTATGTGCTTTTAGTTTATGTAGGATTCAACATGGCATGACATGACATCAAATTTCTATGTTTTCCTATTCCGATGTTTTCAAGTTTTATGAACCAAATTAAGGTGTGGAGGGCTACACATTTTTACTTTACGTGGTTCACCCATTAGTGTTCAACAAATAAAGTTTTAGTATAGTTAAGTGGAGAACTAAACTAAGAGAATCTAACATGAATGCCATTGAAATATGTTTCCTTGGATATTCAATTTTCAGTTGATACAATCTCTATCCCAATAGGTTTGACCTCCCATTAAACATAAAAATATGCAACCCATGAGCCTTTTTTGTCGGGGAATAGTGAAATTAACACTACACATATGAGGTATCATCGATGTCATCTATATATGTACTTTATTGTATTTTTTCATGGTTCTGTTTTTTGTATGTGTGTGTTGAACTCAATCTATGCCTTGTAGGCTGACGAAACCCTACCGTTTAGACTAAATAATTGGTATATCTAAGAAGGACGGTAGAAACTTCACATGATTGAAGCGTGGAGGCTACTTCCAGCAACAAAAAATTATGGAGACTACGTTTTTTGCGGGTTTTCCGTTCAACAGATCTAGAGTTACATTGAAGTGGAATAATGAATTAAAAGAGAATTCGACATGGAGTACATGGCACTACATGTAGTAGTATATAGGTAGTGTACAGAGTCAACACAAGGAATCTCCTACACAGAAAATCTTTTCACCTACCATCATATAAATGTGAGCTCTGCCAATCCAATGCTAAAGAAATCTCACTACATCTTTTTTGGGACTGTGACTTTGCCTCAAGTTGCTGGGAAGCTCTCATTGGTCACAGAAACAGAGGTTTGTCACCCTATGGCAAAATTACTCTCTTGGTTAAAGCCCTTCCCACATCAATTGCCATGGAAATCCTCATCATGGGATGTTGGAACATCTGGATTCAGAGAAACGGGAAAATTTTCAGCGCCAGGCAGCAGTCCATTCAGGCTTGGGAGAGACTGCTGAAACACGATCTCCTGCTTCTCAAGCATAGAATCAAGTCCAAGTTTGAAGCCCAATATCCAGTTTGATTGATCAGTTTCTCAATTAAGATCTCTTAACATGATGGGTTTTGATAGAATAGGAGTTGGTTAACTTGGTCCTTTGTGGCTTGTAACTTATTGTAAATACTTTTGCTTTTACTAGCAAACATGCCCGTGCGTTGCAACGGGAGATTTTTTTTACCTCTCATACACACTCTTGATACATCAGCAAATCTCTTGAAATTGTGCACGATGCCACATGAAAAACAACATGATAAGTGATGTTGCACAAAAACATACATAAGTGATGATTTTTGAAGTGTATTCAAGGTGTTTCCAATTTAGACAATATAAATATCTATCTAGTTGCAGGTATATCTTTACGCATTTGTTGCCGTTCCTCCTCGCTGGTGCCCAACAAATATTTGCATTACGACGAAAATACCAACGTATATTTTATTATTTCATGATAGCATTTGCATAAGAGCATTATTTTTGCCTCCTTTATATATGTGCTTTTTTTGTAATCCAAGTCAAATCTTAATTTGGTTGCAAACATATTAGGCAGCTCCATAAAAATCAATCAATTTGTAAGGACATGCATAGCAAATGTTCAAGGTTGCATATCAACATTGATATTCTTAAAAAAATGAAAATAAATAAAACAATATGAAAATTAAAGTCAAGCCATTGGTTTACGTAAAGTTTGTATCAGCAACATTGTACATTTTTTATACATCAGAAACATTTTATATATACACATTTAATATTTTCCAATTTCATGGTCAACATTTTTTAAAACATATTTATTTTTTATGTCTACTTTTTATACATATTCTATATTTTTTGTATACATCAGGAATATTTTTCATATACACGTTTAACATAGTCCAAATACATGATACTATTTTTGAAAACTTATTTTTTTTATGTCTGCTTTGTTCCATACACATTATATATGTTTCTATACATTTTTCTTATACATCAAAAAACATTTTTTGTATGCACATTTGACATTCTTTAAATATATGATTAACATTTATTAAAGAATGAAAAATGATAGTACTATTTTTCTATACGCGCTGTACTTTTTGGTATATAATGGAAACATTCTTTCTATACATGTTTGACATTTCTTTAGTGCATGATTAACATTCTTTGGAAGTCTGCATATAAGTGATTTTTATAATTAAAATATTCATAGTATTTTGAAATAAAGCCAAAATAAAAAAATACAGAACATATGTAAAAAAATGTAAGAAAAATAAGTGCTAAAGGCCGCTCTGGGCCGGCCCAATCGGGCATCTGTCTAGAGAAAAGGGGGAGCAAAAGGGAGTAATAGAGAAAAGGGGGAGATGGGGGATCAAACCTGGGTCTTCTAGGTGGAAGAGAGAGAGTCCAGCCAGTAGGGCGGCCAAGCCCCTGGCATTTGGTGGGAGATCAGACACTATTGAACAAAAATCAATGACCGATTAAAAAAATAATCGCTTTTTCCTGTTACCAGGGGCATAGGCGGGTAAATTGTGTGAACTCTAGGGGCAAATTCCGTGACGTACGACCAGAAACCCACTTTTCTTTATTATTAGGTGAAGATTAATATATATACCGTAGAACGATTGTTCTACGGGGTTCGGTTATTTTTTTTGGCAGAATGGCTGTTGTTAATATGTTTCTTAAAAAAAACGAGATGTAGACATGATAATTTCGAATTATATAAATGCAGTACTATCTTGAACTACTGGTGCCTGGCACGAGCATATTTTGTCCATTTCTCAGTACTCATGACTAGTGCATTATTTTCAAACGAGATACACTAGCGATTTGTCCAAAAATTTAAATCAGTGCTGCTAGCAGCTGCTACTTTTTTTTAGATAACTTTTTTTAGGGGTTATTTAGCAGCTGCTACTGTAGCGTGTACTCCTCTACTAGGACTGGAGGGCCGCACATGGGTTAAAGAGGCCGCCCGTGGGTTGCCCACCCTGACGTCGGCGAGCAGGTAAAAACCCAAACGGGCACCAACACCAAGCCTGTCGCTGCCGCACGCGCAGGCGCAGCGGACAGCGATCCGCGCACGGTCCTGCCCCTGCGCCCTCGTCCCCTCCGCTATATATGGGGCCCTGCCATGCCATCCCGGCACCGGCCACTCAAAATCCCCAGACTTTCCAAAGCCAAAATCCCAACCTCCGTCCTCCGATCCCCCTCTTCTTCCTCCTTCTCGCGGCCGAGGGGGTCGTCCATCGATGGCGACAATGGGGGCGGGCGAAGCAGTGAAGATGATCTGCGGGACGAAGGTGGAGCGGGTGGTGGGCACGGGCAAGGCGCCCGGTGCTTGCCCGTCCTGCGGCGGCCCCGTGGTGGCCACCGACGTGGAGAGCGAGCGGCGCATCCTCTGCCTCCCGCTGTGCCTCAAGAACAAGCGCAAGTACTCCTGCACCAGGTGCTTCCGCCGCCTCGTCACCGTCTACAGCTAGCCGGCCCCAAGCCGCTGGTGGTGGTGCCACCGATCCATCCATCCTTCCATCAACTAGCGATGTACTACCAAGCAAATCCATTAATCCGCTCGACTTCTTTGATTCTTGTTGGCCGTGCTTACGGCTCTAGAGTAGCTTGCTAGCCTGGATAATGTAATGTCATGTTGATCCTGTCTTAGTTCTTCTACAGTGTTTCTAGGGAGTACTCCTAGTAGCTAAATCTAGCTAATTTGGTGGCCGCGCATCACGTGAAGCGCTGCAAAACTGGCACTCTGATGTACCAGTATCTTGCAGTAAGCTCTCTGTCAATGGTGGCGGGGCACCTCCGCTTTAATGCACCGGCCTGGCCAGTATTGGAAATTCGTAATGCGCTTCCTTCATTAAGATGGCAATTAACGTACTGGTGGGACCATCATGGACACCCAGATACGCAAAAGTACATTGGCCCGTCTCCATCGACCGATCCCCCAAGCCTCGATCGCTATAGTGATGCACAGTAGCAGCCACGCAATCTCTGTCACCGCATGTATTGTGCCGATCACTACAGTAGTAGCAGCCACAAATCGACGGTGACGCCAGGCTTTGGCCGGTGTGCATGCACCGGCCACAAGCCACAGCAGCCGGCCGGCCGTCCGTCCGTTGGTTACCTGTTCCTTTCGCGGGCATATCACGTACGACGTACGAGGAAAATCCCCACGATTCGACGGCCGGACGGGCGCGCCGATCTGCACGGCTGCACCTTAGCCACCCGGCCAAACTGAACCCGCAAACGAGCGGTCTGCGCACTAGGGCATTGGGTCCGATATTAGTTGCCGAAAATGAAAATCGGTAGTGTCGTCTGCCGTGATCTGATCTCTGGATTGCTTGAGTCCCGGGCCGGCACCAAGATGCGTTCGGCGATTAACTACGATTATCCTCCAAAGGGGGGAGGATTGTGCGTGCAAGCCATGCGATGCGCCGCATTTAGTTTGTGTCCAATCTGTGATCGCCAGTTCGCCACACATGCAAACCGAGATGATTCAAGCGAGACTCGGCGGCGAGCTACTTGTCCACACACCAGCTGGAGACGAGAAGGGTAGGTAGAGATAAAGGAGCTACATGGCCATGTCTACTCCCTCCGTATCGAAATACTTATAGTTGTGGGAATTTGTACTAGCTTCCCAGCTACAAGTATTTTGGTACACGGGTAGTATAAACGTGTGGATAGATATGCAGATTCATGCATCGCATGGTGGGGGTATATTATGGCTGCTAATTGCGCCGCAGGAGTAATAAACAACCGAGCTGCTACGTTGCGCAGAGAGCTCCCTTTCTATACACAAATCGATCCCTGTCGATGTTATTTGCTGATGCACACGAGATATAACTGGTGACGGTATATCGGTCTTAGCTACGATCCTGACATGCAAGAAGCTTCTACGCACGTTGCGGGACAGAAAAAAGAACACGAGGGATGCGTACCCACCATTACTGGGATCAGATCAGGAAGCTGCTGATGCCTGACTGGCTGACCTTGACCGGCTGAGACGAACTCATCCGAAAAACTGAAAGCGACGACGGAGGGCGACTGTCCGAAACGGAAGGGCAAAGACCAGAGGTTGGGGTCACCGCCATGCGTCGTTGAGTGGGTCTATTTCTGTGTTTCCGGCCATGTCTTGGACCTGCCCACCACTGGAAGCGCGGGTTGATCAGAGCGTGGGCAGCCTTTTGGTTGCGCACCAATGTTTTTGTCGACGTCTAGAAACCAGACATGGGATGTGTGCGAACAACCTTTTCGTGAATTTGGTCGGGGATAAAGCACGCCGGAGTTATCCAAGTTCGGGCCACAATCGAGGTGTAATACCCTACTCCTGTTATGAATGATATTGCTATGTTCTAGGCGAACTGGTAACAATGTATGTCGTATGTTGCGAATGAGTCGAGCTCTTTGCTAGGCTGTAGTCCTCTATTTATATTGTCTCCGGTCCTCTCCTTTTCATGGCGGGGGTTGCCGCATAGCCAGCACAAAACAGAGGAGGGCCGTCCATACCGGCCCGGCGCAATGGGGCATGGCTTCCATGCCCCATGCCGAGTAGGCTGCTATAGGACACCCTTGTAGCCATGCACTAGGTTGGTGCTGCCTCTCCGGGGCCGAATTTCATGTTTTGACCCTTTTTGAAAAGAATTTCAGGATCTGATTCCTACTTGAATTTTTTTTCGAGATTTGACCTTTTTTCCTACCGCCAGGGCCTCTGGCGGTAGGGTTAGATAGCCTACCGCCACGGCCCATGGCGGTAGGAAACTTATCCACGTCAGCGCGCGGAGACGGCGCCGTCCCCCTCCGTCGCACCCTACCGCTAGGGGCCCTGGCGGTAGGCTGTCTAACCATACCGCCAGGGGCCCTGGCGGTAGGGTCCGGGCATTATTTGCCCCGAAACCCCCGCGCCCCTGCCCATCTCCCCACCCCTCCCCCTCCCCCCGTCGGCAGTTCATCCTTTTCTCCCCCAAGTCGTCCCTCTCTCCCTCTCTCATCTCCTCCACTCCCCCCTTGGATCTTCACCGATTCTTCACCGTTTTGGCGGATCGAGATGGCCCCGAGGAGAGAACCTTAAGCTCATCCGATCCCTCCAATTAGTTTTTGCAAACTTGCTACCGATTCGACGCATTATTTGCTTGAAATCCCTCATGTTTTTGAACTTAGATTGATTTTTTTCACCTAAGATTGATTGTAGTTGTAGTTCTTAGTTCTTTAATAAGTAGTGGTATTGGATATGTACTCTAATCAATAGTTCATATGTTAGTGTGAAGATGAACCCTAGTTCATAATTTTTTTTTGTTAAAAAAATTATGATGTAATGTTGATAAAGGGATGAACCCTAGTTTGATGATGCATGTGATATGATGATATGATCTAGTGTGAAGATGAACCCTAGTTTGATGACGCATGTTGATATGATGATATGAAGATGTTGTTTGGAAAATTTTGTTTAAAAATATGAAGCTATGATGTATGTTGGAGGTTTTTTTTGATATGATGCATGTTGATATGATTTGATCCATCATGTGTAGTAGATGTTGTTGGAGGAATATGCTTAAAATTTTATTTTGATATGATTTGAGTTCATTGTTTGTTTATGTATGCTTATGCTTATGGTGCTTTTGTTTATGAAACTCTATTAAGGCGGCCACCTCTTGCGGACAACATCGGCCAACGGTACTCCATGCTGGACTGGGCATTCGACAAGGGTCATCGTGCCCGTTTCATAGAGAACGGAGAGGTAAGTGATATGAAAGAAATTTTGATCAAAGTTCTCGGATTGATGAAAATGATTTCCTAACTTTTTGGCGTTCACTTTTTGACAGACGCTCCAGCCACTGCGCATGAGGGGTCACGGGGTTCATGGGCATATGGACTACGCGCCGTTCTTCAAGAAAGCCCGTCTGTTGGGTTTCGTACGTGCTGCAGTTCAAGCATCAGCCGCCGACGCTTGTCCACGCGGCTCTCACAGCTCTGATTGACCGTTGGAGACCGGAGACCCATTCTTTCCATCTGCCATGCGGGGAGATGACGGTGACCCTAGAGGACTGGGGGATGATTACTGCAATGCCGATCGAGGGTCATGCACTCACCGGTCGAGTGGAGAGGGCCAACTGGCAGGAGAGGGTCACAACCCTCATCGGCGACTGCCCCGGTGGCAAGAGTAATCGTACATCCGGTGTGCCGTTGATCTGGCTCTCGGAGCACCGGAAGACATGCCCCCAAGGCGCAGATGAGGCGACTGTGGAGTTGTACGCGAGGGCCTATCTGTGGTATATTCTCTCGGAGGTCGTGTTCCAGACAGCTCCGGGAACTCTGCCAACTGGGCGTATCTATTCTTCCTAGCGGACTGGGATGCAGGGTACAGTTGGGGGACGGCATCTCTCGCCTACCTATACCGTTCGGTAAGAGAGTGTCTAATTGCGTACCTACCTACGAAAGTGTGTCCATGACATTTTCTTATATCTGATCCTCATTTGATGTTTTGCAGCTTGACGACACAACGCAGAGGACGGGAGACAAGTCCAATATGGGTGGCTTTGTCTGGGCCTTCTCCATTTGGATGTGGGAGCGGCTGCCGGTGGGGCGTTCGGAGAATTTGTGAAGACGCCCATGGGAGGACTATGGCGAAGAAGGCGACGAGACTCGAAATCCTACCGTAGCTTACGAGTGGGACGTTGTCAAACTCTACACGAGCCTAAACAAGACTTCGTACAAGACCTACACCAGCGAGTTGGACGCTTTGACGCATACACAGGTATATGAACTCGCCCAACACCTTTCTCTTTGATTCCACTATTGACCGAGAGTGCAAACTTACCAAGGTATATGTAATAGGTAATCTGGTGCCCGTATCGACAAGAACAAGAGTGGGGACTTTGATCTGAACGTGATGTGCGATGCGGACAGTGGTCTCTGGCGGTGCATCGTGCCCATGATCTGTGTGTACGCCGTCGAGTGGCATTTGCCACAATGCGTGGCCACGCAGTTTGGGATTTATTAGCATACCCCACCGGGCCAGCCCACCGATACTGGCGGCCACGCGCTCCACCTGTGAGCTCTTTGTTCTCGGTGAGATTATCATGTTTCTTGTTGCTTATGATGATCTCATTGCGCTTATGATGATTCTTGTTGCTTATGCCTTGCAGGATGAGCCGGCAGAAGAATCAGTCGATCACAGACTGGGGAGAGGAGCATAAGACTCATGTGACGGAGTGAAACAGATGGAGGTACCGTAAAGACGTGGAGAGGAGAGTGACTAACTGGGATGATTACCTGGGCCGACACATGAGGTGGTACGATGATGGCCAGAAGCACCGTCTTCGTCTCAGGCCTCGATGGACGGCGGAAGACATCGCGGAGCTGGAGTGGGCTGACCCCGATGAACAGGCATACCAGACCGGCATCAGAGACATGCACAATGGATTTAGGGAGTTTGCACCCCTCATCAACAGAGTGGTAAGTTTGAACCGACGGTTGATTTTAAAATATTTTATTCATCATCGTGACTGACTTATGCCGTTGCAGTCCGGTGAGCTGAACAGATGCATCTTCAATGCCTCAGATGCACTAGGTGATCTTCCCGGGAGCATAGAATCGGAGACCAGAGTCAGGGGGGCGATGAGGGTACATTTTCAGCCTCCTCGGAACAGATGCATCTTTTTCACTTGCAATCGATCGATCTGATACTTATTA